AAATAATAATACTTGTCTTAAAATGTTGCTCTAAGGAACGGATATGATATATGTTTAAGAAAACAATAAAAGTTAAATTATGCTTATGACCCAATGTAAATTTGGTCATTTTGGTTGGAAATGCATGGACTTAACAGACAAATCAATACAATGAATAAAAGATTAGCAAGTTTGAGACCAGCCTGACCAACATGGTGAAACCCCATCTCTACTAAAAAATACAAAATTAGCTGGATGTGGTGGCACACACCTGTTGTAATCCCAGCTACTCAGAAGGCTGAGGCGGGTGAATCGCTTGAACCTGGTAGGTGGAGGTTACAGGGAGCCAAGATGATACCATTGTACTCCAGCCAGGGCAACAAGGGTATAGCTCCATCTCAAAAGAAAAAAAAAAAGATTAGTAAGGTTGAGTCAGAAAAATCAGCTGCCCTCTATCTGTGCTGTCCAGTGTAGTACCGGCCACATGTAGTTGTTGGGCATGTGAAATGTGACTATCGTGACTATACAACTAAAACTGAACTTTTAGTTGTTTTTGTGTTAAATATCTAAATTTATTTATTTATTTATTTATTTATTGAATCAGGGTTTTGTTCTGTCACCCAGGCTGGAGTGCAGTAATATGATCCTAGCTGAAACCTTGAACCCCTGGGCCCAAGTGATCCTCCCACCTCAGCCTTCCAAAGTGCTGGGATTGGCTGGGCGCAATGGGTCACACCTATAATCCTAGCACTTTGGGAGACCAAGGTAGGAGGATCACTTGATGCTGAAAGTTTGAGACCAGCCTGGCCAACATGGTGAAGCCCCACCTCTACTACAAATATAAAAGTTAGCTGGGTGTGGTGGTACGCACCTGTGGTCCCAGCTACTTGGAAGGCTAAGGCAGGAGAATCACGCAACTGTATGCTAGCCTGGGTGACAAAGGGAAACTCAAAAAAAAAGTGCTAGGATTACAGGCGTAACCAAGTCCAGTTTGTTTGTTGTTGTTGTTGTTGTTGTTGTTGAGACGGAGTCTCGCTCCGTCACCCGGGCTGGAGTGCAGTGATGCGATCTTGGCTCACTGCAACCTCTACCTCCCAGGTTCAAGCAATTATCCTGCCTTGGCCTCCCAAGGAGCTGGGATTACAGACACCTACCACCACACCCAGCTAATTTTGTATTTTTAGTGAAGACAGGGTTTCACCGTGTTAGCAATGATGGTCTGAAACTCCCAAGCTCAGGTGATTGACCCATTTCAGCCTCCCAAAGTGCCAGGATCACAGGTGTGAGCCACCATGTCCGGCCAGTTTAAATGGCCACATGTGGCTGGGACTTCTGTATTGGACACTAAAGTTATACTGTCAGTAATCAGCTACAGGCTTAGACCAATTACATAACAACTCTGGGTCTCAGTTTCTACAACTATAAAATAAAATAATAATACTTACTCCTACTAGGTTATTATGAGGATAAATATGTTTATATTTTTGCATGTAGAATAAAACCAGGCACATAAAATGCGCTATATGTTTGTTAAATAAATAAGCAAGGAAACATAATGTAAAACTATAGTTTTAAACATAGTACAGGAAAAAAATAGACCAATGGAACAGAATAGTTTAGCAGCAGGCCGTGAATATCCACAAAGCAGAGAGAGAAAGAGAGAGGGAATTGTTGAACAACATCTGGCTTTATCAGTTAAAGACTTACCCTCAATGAAGGCAACATAGACAAAGTAAAAAAGATGACCTTCTGGGGGAAATGTATGTTTGACCTCAAATATGTAACAAGGGATAACTATCTAGATTTTCAGGGAAGTTTTTCTTTCTGATTTCAAGAAATAGTCCATTAGAAAAACATAAAAAGGATATGAGTAACTAATCATAGGAAAACTCAAATTACTATCAAGTGTTTGCAAAATAGTTCAGAGTTGGCCAGGCGCAGTGGCTCATCCCTGTAATCCCAGCACTTTGGGAGGCCGAGTCAGATGGATCACTTGAAGTAAGGAGTTCGAGACTGGCCTGGTCAACATGGCAAAAGCTTGTCTCTATTAAAATACAAAAAAAAATAGTTGGGTGTGGTGTCACACACCTGTAATTCCAGCTACTTGGGAGGCTGAGGCAGGAGGATTGTTTGAACTCGGGAGACAGGTTGCAGTGAGCCAAGATCGCACCTCTACACTCCAGCCTGGGTAACAGAGTGAAAGTTGGTCTCAAAAATGAAAAAAGAAAAAAAAAATAGTTCAAAGACAGTAGTAACTAGAGAAATGCAAATAAAACGAAAATTAGATTTGCATTATATACCCTTCCAAATTGGCAAAAATGTGTGTATACATATATATATATCTTTTAAATTTTATGAAAAAGTAATGCATGTTGTATATAGATGTGTAAGATCTGATATTTATAGCGATCTTCCCATCCTCTATGTCAGTATTTATAGCTCTGGGCTGTCACTGTATTTGGCTCTTGCATGAGTACTTTCTCTTTTTTACTTTTTGATGCTTCCAGGCTGTAGCTTGGAAAACTAGATAACTTAGGTTATGCAGTTCCTTTTTGGAGCTGCATTAGTTCATAGTCTTCAGGCTTATAGACTCTTTTTTCTTGAGGTTTTTTTTTTTTTTTT